AAAAAAGAAAAAGAGATACGATACGAGTCACAAAAAGACCCATGATTGGCAAGATACATGCCTGAACACCATAGACCGAGAATAGCTCGATTTTTGTGATTTCCAATCTATAAATAGTTGATCTACCAAAGCTTCCATAATCACTCAAATTAGAGCTCTCGATATCTCCATCTGAAAATGCCAACTTCAATAAAACTAATGGTCAGAAAAAAAAGAGCTGGTTAAACATCATTCAATTTGAAAAAACGAAAAAGTGAAACAAGATAAAGATGATGCAATCACATCTATGTTGGGCTACATATTTTTAAAGATATTACGAAATCATAAAGCTTTTGTGTATGGGTTGAAACTATCGTTGCACCAGGTGCACGCATAGTTATCACACATACGAATAATATTAATAAGAATGGTAATTTACACCTATACCCCTGAGGTATGCTAAAATAACTTTATGGTCCCTGTGGTATTGGTAATTACACTCACCCTTGAAAAAATCACCGGAGCCACCGATATACACTATATTTGTTTCCCGCGGGACCGTTAATGCTACCATAGACGAAAATTTATAAATCTTATATAAAATAATAAGGATTTAAGAAATGTTAGGAGAGTCGTGTCACCCCTAACTCTATGTTGTCTCCACCACTGCCTGAAACTAATAATTTGTTAGAAGTCTAACGAAATAACTTATCCAATGAATTATTCCGTTAGGGTTTCTAACAATGTTTTAGGAAGTGATTGTAATACGGTTACTACAAAGAACTTAAAGTTATTTTAGCATCCCTCAGGGGTGTAGGTGTAATTTGCCCTAATAAAAATAATTAGGGACCATTAAGTAGCCTAAATAGAAAGAGAAAAAAAGAACAAATTAACTTTTCAAATTACAATCTTGAGGCATTACAAATACTTTCTTGAAGTTTGTCTTTCGTTGACGATTCCTGATCATTCTTTGTAATCTCTATTTTTTAACGAATTAAAAAAAAAATAGCTTAAATGGTTAAATTTATGCAACGAGGACGAAATGTGCATTTCAGATCCAGGAAGTAAGCTGTAACAAATGTAATCAAAGAAACTTTGACTATCAATACAACGAAATTTATATATATATATATATATATATATATATATATATATATATATATATATATATATATATATCTTGAAAATGCTAAACTCATCCCATTACCTTTGCAGTCGGAGGTGTAGCTATCAGTCTCCTCGTCATCGTTAAAAAGCCGTTGGAGATAAATCTCTTCGTCTATAAATGTAGGCTTGAGGAACCCCCAGATAACAACACCGTTTGATGGATTACCCATCACTTTAGCATGTTCCACATCAATTGCCTGAAATATTACGACAACAACAGTAAACACAAACAAGTTATCACACACACATATATGCCTACGCCGAAGCACGTTTTTTTTTCTTGTTTCAGATTTAATACTTAATGTGCATTTAAATTCGCAAGAGCAAGCATGTGATTTTCGTTAGCATACAAGCAACGGTAACAACAGATGAATATCATAATATAGTATCCCCAGTATTTATAACACATAACAAAAGATAATAAAATAATAAAAATAATAAAATAGTTTCCAGTTAGAATCTAGTCTACTATCTCGTAGCTAGACTTGACTAGTTACAGTTGTTACCTAATTCTCGATTCTTCAAATAGTAAAATGAAACTAAGATGACACATTCAAGTAAATCAATTAATGGGAAAATTACGGCCACCCTGAGGTAAAGTCAAACTGCGAAAAAAAAACTTCATGTTTGGGTTATTACAACCACCCCTTCAACTATGAATCTTTTTACACGTCCACCCTTTGCGGTGACAAATTTAGTGAAATCTTCTAGATTATGTGGAATATTCTCAATTTTGTACCCGTTTTACCCCATTTGCGCTCCACATTTTGAAACGAGATGATTATGAGATGTGTCTATTGGCTTGTAAATATCAGATCATGGTGCATCAGAAACTACATTTTTGCACAAAACGATAACAAACTAGTGAACATTCCACGGAATCTAGAAGATTTTGTTGAATTTGACACCATAACGTGGGCGTGTAAAAAGATTCATAGTTTATGGGCGGTTGTAATTACCCAAACAGGAGGGGGGTTTTCGTAATTTAACCATACCTCAGGGTGGTGAACGTAATTTACCCATCAATTAATTTGTTAATGAAAATATTAAATACGAATTACACAAAAATAAAACCTTTGTCAAGCACTTGGCGAAGTAAAGTGGATGAGTCGAATTGGAACTTTCAGACATTCCCCAATCTACCCCAATGTCCGTTTCGCTAGAATTCTCGACCTGATCGGGAGACGAGGTATGTATATATAGTAAGAGGAATAGTTTATGAACCAAAACAATAAACGGTAAAACGGAGCATATTAAGTAAGTTGTCTCACTTCAAAATAGTCATCGGCAAGAAAAATATCTTCGCCAGAGTCGACGTCCGAAATGCTGTCATCGTAAAGATCTATCTTTCTACTCTCGTAGTGAGATATATCCATCCCAATCAAAGCGGACTGAAATTGAAATTGCAATTTGTGAGTACATATTTTATAAAAAATTGAACTAACTAAAACTACAATAGAGAGTTGGAATTGTCACATCATTGCTTTTAAGTGAGAGAATACAAATAAAATAAAAAACGAAAAGTTTAAGTATAGAATAATAGAAAACAGGTTCCCGTTTGGACATCATAAAAAATGTAAATTGGGAACCGGGGAATAGTTATAGTTTAAACTTGTTTAATGATATACGATACTTTTTACAAATTGTGACAAAATGAGAGAAACTTATAAGGGCAAATTACGGCCACCCCTGAGTTATCGTCAAATTACGAAAACCCCCCTCATGTTTGGATAATTACAATCACCCCTCAACTATGTATTGGTAAATTAAGGGATGTTAATTCGGTAAAACCGAACCGAAATTTCAGTATGCTAACATTTCATACTGTTTACCGAACTAAATATACAATTTGGTTCGGTAAATAACCGAATTACATAAATTTTATGTAAAAATATTTAAAAGGAGGGGCCGCTGTAATTACCCAAACAAGAGAGATTTTTTCGTAATTTGGCCATACCTCAGGGGTGGCCATAATTTGCAACTTACAATTAGTTTCGAGATGCAAACAAGATATTACTAATTATCTTAGGCCTCGCTTGGTTGACAAGATAAGATTAAATAATCTAATGAAAACCCAATTATTTTATCGGACCCCGGGATGTCCAACAAAAAGATCATCTAAAAGGCAAGATAAGCCATGATAACATATTATTTGCGAGTCGACCAGGTAAGCTATTTGGGGATACCAAACATCAAACAAAGTCCAATTATTTAGTTAATAATGGCTAATATCCCCAACCAAACGAGGGCCTTAGCGCGTTAGCTTGTAGTGTCGAGGTTTACCGCCGTAAAAAATAGTGCATCTTCCAGTTTTTCAATAAAGAGAAAAGAATAAAGAAAGAGTGGAAATATTCCGAGAGAGATTAGACTAAAACCTCACCACAGGATTACTTGCTCCGTGATCTTGCAAGATGTTACGACTGTCATGAACCTCAAAAAATATATCTGAATATATATGCGACAAAGTTATATACAGAAAAAAACATAAACAAAATCGGTCAATAGAAAAAACAAATTTAGAGAGAGAAATAAAACCTCCAAAGTCATCAATAACATACTCAAATTCAGCCCACGAGATTTGTTCATGTGGCTCACAGTGCACAATGCTAGGGAATATCAGTAAGGCCTTGTTGTTAGCCTATAATAAAAAAAACATAAATCAGATAGCATATTCAAGACGAATAACCAGTGTTCTAAAGATCGGCCGAGGCGGCCGATTAATCGGTCTCGGCGGAGGCGGTCCAAAACCTTTACGATTTTAGTGTAAAGGTTTGAAAAATCGGGTTTTGCCTGAGAAGCGGTCTGAAGCGGTCTGAGGCGGTCAAACCTTGAAAGCGGGTCAAACTTCGGTGGCAAAAATCGGCCAAAAATTGTTTTTTTTTTTAATTCAAAACAAAAGTTGGGATTTTAATAAAAAAAATATGAGTTTATGCTCTAGTTTGTTTATGTTAACTGTTATTGTTAAAGATTTGCCTTTTTATTTATATTTTAAAGGATATTTATGTATTACGATCTTATTATTATTAAACTTTTATTATTTTATTAGGATATATACATGATGGAGAATAACTATGTTTAAATATCTTTTTATATATGTTTTGAGTATTTATAAATAATATCTAGATATATATTATATTAAATTTTGAAAAACGATTTATTTCCGATTTATCACCGCCGCACCGATTAATTGTGAGTCGGTGCCTAACCGCCTCCGACCCAATTACTGCTTTTTACTACCTTGCGAATAACATATAACTAAATGTACCGACTATTAAAGAAGAAAACGAAAAAAAAAGAAGAGGAATAATGAAGGGAGACCTCTACGGCAGTTCTTGCTATCTCAGCAGATGTAGGCATTGTATCACGAACGCGGCCATGATCTCTCAATTCTTCAAGTGGGTGATAGCTGTTGCAATTAGAGAAACTAGAAGAGTCGGGGACTGAATCTGAATAATCAGCAGCTACGGGGACTGAAATGCAAATACCATGCATTTGAGGCAACAAGTGGGAACGTGTGCTTCCGAAGAAAGTGTTCGCACTCCTGAAACTGATATCAGCAGTTTCTCAACAGATGGACTAATTAAGAGAGAGAGAGAGAGAGAGAGAGAGAGAGAGAGAGAGAGAGAGAGAGAGAGAGTTTGTGTGCTGTACCTCAAGCCTGGAGAAACTGTTTGAAGCCCAAAAGGTGGCTTTATCGAACTGTTGGAGAATCCATATGACGTTGAGCAGATAATTGGTTCAACATGACATCTAAAGCAGTCAAAAGGTCCTGAATCACCGATATGAGAAAACACGATATTAGTTTCAAGCAGACAAAAGGTTACAAAGATTCAGAGAACATAGAAATAAAAATTCAAATATTAAAGAAGGGTCAAAAACTTCTGAAATATATCTTTTAAAAATGAGCAAAGAAACTCATAAGCTTTCAACAAATTTATTAGCCTACTTGAAATGATTCTATAAAACGTGTTAGAAGCAGAGCAATGAAGTTGATTTTTTCTATTTTCTATTCATCATAGCATAACTTCCAATTTCGCCGCTATGAAGATAGAGAGCAACTTTACTTATAATACCCATAAATTTTCTCGTTGAAAACTAACTCGGTTTTTTCTTGCATATAAACTGCAGAAACAAACATTTTGGCCCCGTTTGGTTGGGGAGATTAGCCATGATTAACTAAATAATTGGACTTTATTTAATGTTTGGTATCCCCAACAACTTGCCGGGTCGACCAAACGAGGCCTAAAAACTTAATTATATTATTTCACATTCGATCATCCAACAAAAATACACACATCTTATCTTGGCTAATCTTATCTTGGCAACCAAACGAGGCCCTAGAAGGCAAGATAAGTCATGATAATATAATATTCGCAGGACGACCCGGCAAGTTATTGGGAATACCAAACATCAAACAAAGTCCAATTATTTAGTTAATACGGCTAATCTCCCCAACCAAATAAGGCCTTTGATGACTGAACACTGGGTCTTAAAATCTACTGTTTACTGATGGAGGAAAAAGGATTTACCTAACAGATAGCAGAGCAGAGCATTACGACTCAACAATGTACCACAATCTTAATACAGTTAAACCTCTATAAATTAATACAACCAGGACTAGGGAAATTCAATTAATTTAGCGAATTATGAAATTGTCGAGGTATTAATTTAACACATTTTTCACAAAGTCGGGACCGAGAGAAACTATTTTTTAATCGAGCTTATTAATTAGAAATTAAACTGAACCACGTTCCGACACAAGCAGATGTTCAAAACAGAATGCACAAAAAAGAAATGAAACTATAGTCTACAACTATAATTTTCTTCTAATTAAATTTAACAAGATGGATGAACTCTCAGAAAAAAAATAATAATAAATAAAAAAAATAATAATAATCATCTGATTTAGGGGAAAAATTGAGTGGACTGTTCTGATTAACTGATAAAGGAGAAATTGAGAAGAAAGGGGAAGATTTATTGGAAGCATTTGATAGCAATAAGCATAAAAAATACAGAAATGACAGTAATCAAAAAAACGGAAACAGCAAAAGAGAAAAATGCGTATAGAAAATGGAGAGAGAGAGAGAGAGAAGAATTACCGATTGAGAGAAGCGACGAAGATAGTGGTGGTGGTGCTGTTGAAATCATCGATCGATCGGTAGAGAGAGAAAGAGAAGAGAGAGAGAGAGAAGAGAGTGGAGCCGCAAAATTGAGTGAGTGGGGAGGTGTGTCGCTATCTTCTTTACTGGTTTCCACTGAATTTCTCAGTCTGCACAAATCAAGCCTCTTGTCTTTGTGTATGTGAGTTGACCTGCACGTTTCTCGCATACCCAATCCAATTCTTATAACTATTTCTTTTTTAATAAGAAATAATAGATTTCTAAATTTATAGTTTTATGTTTTAACACGTATTTGAGTACCAATTATTTATTATTTCACACCTTGGCGAGTCAAGGAATTTGTTACATGCTTATAATTTTTTTGGTGTTTTTGAGACAGTGAACCTGATTTCTTTTTAGGATCATTTTTGTGACAAAAACAAAAAATAGGAAAAGAAAAAAAATGCAAGAGTTTTTTTGTATTAATTTGGATTTGAGGTGGGCTAATTAATAAGAATTGGGGTTTTTTTTTGCATTAATTTATATTTTAAATGGACTAATTGATAAAAAAAAATGGATGGGCTAAATAGATGTGATAAACGTCGTTCGAGCTTTAATAATACCGTTTCGACTTCAAATATGATTTTGATTAATTTTTATTCTAAATTTTGCAAAACCCGAAAAATAGGATGTATAGTATTCTGAGTTAGTTTCCTAATCCAACTTGAATCACCAAAATTGGATGTCGGACGAGAAAGATATACATGAATCAATAGATACTGCCCACAACTTTGATGTATTGAGGCATCTAAAATTCTAAATGTCATTCATTCATGCATAACTTTGTCACACGGCATCCACTCTAGCGGAATTTAAGTTGAATTAGAAAACTAACCCAAAGGACTACAGTTTTCGTGTTTCGAATTTTGCCAATATCAAAATAGAAATATGTCAAAATCAGGTTTGAAATCAAAACGGTATTAGTGATATTGAAACGACATTTAACACTTCAGATAGGTATAATGGGGATAAATTATAATGAGGGCGGCTTGAGTCCACCCTTCCCTTCATTTCACCTACGCTCTTCTACCACAATAATATTCTCATTTTTATTTACAACTAGTACTTCACTCGCGCGATGCACGGGGGAACAATTTAAAAAATGGAAATATTTTTTAGAGAAAATAATCGAACAAAAAAATTGAATATATGTTGTGTAATTACGATATAATCCAAACGAAATTAAAAAGAAAATTTTAAGTACATTATTAAACAAACTATTGATAAACAAAAATTAATTATCGAAACTGTGATACAAAAATACGATATAACATTGACCCATAAAAGTACAACTATCTTGTCCAATGCAGTCGAAGTAACATGCACATGTTTTCATTTTCATAGTAATACACATAAATGAAATAAAATAAATACTAATACTAATATTAATACTAACTAGTAACCATGCCCCGTGCGTTGCACGGGGTAGCATTAAAAGGAAGAACGTAACATTTTTTTTAATACATGAATATAAAGATTGCAATACAATAAATATAGTATTTATTTTTTATTTCACTTGTTCGAATTACTTTGTTTCACATGTTCCATAAACTTACTCGCATCCTTGTATTTTTGTATATATATATAATCTTCAACTGTCAATATAAATGAATCATTTGAGCTAGTTAATTAACACCATCTGAAGGTATTAATTTGATTTATATATTTGTAATGAGGAACAAATCAAAGATTCCAACTATTATTTTGTAATCTATTCGACCATGAATAATGAGATTTATAAGTTGTCACTCAACATAAAATTAATAAAAATTTAATTAAAAAATACATTGATTTTGTAGCAATAAATAAAATAACTAAAATGTAACCGTTAATTAACAAATGAAAAATGTCAACATTTAGAACATTTAATTTCTTATGACAAATCTATGCTCGAAGAATAATCTTTTGTGGGGCGTTAAAGCATACTAGCATATAATATCATATTCTAGTGAAGTTTAGTGTGATTTGTCTATACGCGCAAATGATGTTATAATATAACTACATAAATGTATATTATTTTTACAACAATACCAAACAAAATTGAGTAAAAAACACATAATGAAAGAAACCTTTCTTTATAATATAGAACATGCTATGTGGAAGTTGTATTTTTTTTTCCCTCAATCACTAAACTGCCAAAAACAAAAACTGAAAATAAAGAATAAATTACACTCGTCAACTAAACAGTAGGACTGTAGAAGCATGACAAAAACCAAAACTCAATTCGAAGACTTGCATAAAGCCGATGTTGATCATGCCAAATAACTTTCTTTATCATATTTGAATAGGCATATGAGTTGTTAAACTGCCTTATGAAATTTGTCTTTATCAAATACAAATGTAAATTCGAAGATTGTTACATATTTTTGTTATCATAAGAAAGACAAATACCTTATGAAATTTGGTGAAATATGTACTTGCATTTTGTTTTCTCAAATATCAGTTGCCAATGAATTTGAAATTAAATACTTAGTCTCGACGTATGGGGATGGGGGGCAATATTTCTTAGCATCCAATATCATTTGTCTGGAGTAGATTTTCTCTTGCATACTCAATAGATGTATAATTCAAACGTATTCGTAATCTAAATCTACCTCTGCCCATTTCAAACTGTTAAATAATGTCTTATCTAATAACAAATAAAACTCAATTCAAATTTTTTTACATAACTAAAAAAAAAAAGTCATTTGGTAGACAAAAGAAATGTAAAAACATAAGATTAGGGAAAGTAATTAAAAAAACAGAGCATAGAGGAATTAATTTTAAATTATTTAAAATTATGTAAAAACAGAAGATTGGAAATTTATAAAAAGTGATCTCAAATTCCCAAAATGGTTCTTATCTGATTAGGAGTGAGTGTCTATAGCCAACGGCCTCGGATTCCTGATTCACTTGTAAATGACTTCATACATTTTGAATCTCTATGGATGCATATCCCTCAAGCACCAAAGTTTGTTCAAACCATATAAATTAACACATCACAGAAGAATGGAAAAACAACATAATATTAGAGATTTCTGTACAAAATTGATATGCCTAATTGGGTCAACCCAATGGGCCTACAATTTCTTTACATACTAGGCCACGAGCCCAATATCGAAGACCCTTATCACCGAGGCCCATTCACCTTCAAGTAAGGTTTGGGCCCGACAATCTCAACTAAGCTATAAATAAAGGTTTGAACTCACTTTCTTAAGGGACGTCCTATTATCTGAGTAATACTACAACATGTATTCTATGGACCATTTATACTATCAGCACGTCTGACTTGAGCGTCGGAGGGGTTTCCGCCGGATCAACCCCCGGCCTACTTCACGTGTTCTATGATCGCAGGTATCTCAAGGTCATCAAGCTCGTGAGCCAGTGATCCACTCTGCTCTTCCAGCTCATCAAACTTCAACTATCTAAGGTGATCTAATTTTAGCATCATCATTTTGGCGTCGTCTGTGGGAAGGCAAACAAGATCACGTAGCGCGCAAGATGGCCTTGAGACTTCTGCTTAAGAGAGTGTGACACTACTAACAACATCCCACCTCGTGGAGGCTCTGGCTTGCCACTTCCTCCTCCCCATGCTCGGGATCCACCACGAGACATTTTTCAGATGTCCCACTAGATCCTCAATAGGATTCGCTTCTTCCCGCCACTCGATCGGTTTAAACATCCGAGGAGGCCTTTCAGCGCTAGCAAGGGTTATCGACTCCCTGGGGGTTTACTGTTCCCCAAAATATTTCGCTCGCCAAGGGTTATCGACTCCCTCGGGGCTTACATCTGCCCCCAAAATATTTCGTTCGCCAAGGGTTATCGACTCCCTGGGGGTTTACAGTGCCCCCAAAACATTTCGTTCGCCAAGGGTTATCGACTCCCTGGGGCTTTATAGTGCCCCTAAAATATTTCGTTCGCCAAGGGTTATCGACTCCATGGAGGTTTACAGTGCCCCCAAAATATTTCGTTCGCCAAGGGTTATCGACTCCCTGGGGGTTTATAGTGCCCCAAAACAAAATGAAAAATTATCCTCAAGGGGTGGACAACAACCACCTAAAAAAAAAAAAAATCAAAATATCAGCCAAGCCAAGCCGCGCAACCTCCAAGCCGCCCGCGCGCCTCCCACCACCCGGCTCCCTCCAAGCCGCGCGCCTTCCAAGGCGCGTCAGCCCCACATGGGCTGCTTCTCCTGCCTAGGGGCGCGCACGCCACCAATAAAAAAAAAGCAAAAAAAAAAACAAAAAGGAGGAAAAGTAAAAGAAATAGGAAAAAGAAAGAGAAAACAAAAGTCACGTAAGAGGAGGGCTCAAATTGCGCGCAGGACCCGATAAAGGAGAAAAGGAAAAAAAAAAAAAAAAAAAGGGAAAATGAAAATGAAGCAAAAGACTCTGCAGCACAGAAGTCAAATCGCCTGGGCCACACACCCAAACCCACCCACCCCCCCCCCCCCCCCCCTCCCCCAGCGAGACAACTCCCACGAGGAGCCAACTCGCTCGGACCTACAACCCGTAGCGAGACAACTCCCACGAGGAGATAACTCGCTCGGTCATATAACCCGTTGCGAGGCAACTCCCACGAGGAGCCAACTCCCTTGGGTCTATGAAACCACAGCGAGATAACTCCCACGAGGAGACCACTCGCTCCGTCCTATAACCCGTTGCGAGACAACTCCCACGAGGAGCCAACTCCCTCGGGTCTCAAAACCACAGCGAGATAACTCCCACGAGGAGACCACTCGATCCGTACTACAACCCGCAGCGAGACAAATCCCACGAGGAGCCAAATCGCTCGGTACTACGAACCCGCAGCGACACAACTCCAACGAGGAGCCAACTCGCTCGGTACCCCAACCCGCAGCGGGACAACTCCCACGAGGAGCCAACTCGCTCGGCACTACAAATCCGTTGCAAGGCAACTCCCACGTGCAGCCACCTCGCTCGATAATAAGACTCGCTGCGAGACAAATCCCACGAGGAGACAAATCGCTCAGAGCGACATCAATCCGCACGCTCCTCAATCGCGCGTCATCCAATGCTCCTACAACTTCGTTGTAAGACAACTCTCTCGAGGAGAAAACTTGCTCGCAATTCACTACACAATCTCAAGATCAAGTTAGCACGATTACAACCTTAGAAATACTTAGAGATATTATGGGAATCTATATATCCTGGCCTGCTTGATTACTCAAATTTCTCTACTTGTTTTCGACGGGTCCTTCATTGAAACG